CTTTTTCAAATATGAATAGAAGGCCCTTTTCTTGGATTTGCATGAAATAATTTAGTTTGGCATTTCATCTTTAAGAATGTGTATGTATTTTGCTATATATCTGTAACTTATTATAGCAAATTGTTGGATTTTGTTTTGATTCTACCTGTAATTATTTTTCTTAGAAGAAGTGCTCTAACAATATTTTTCAACAGTAAGACATAATTTAAAAAAATCATCTTAGTAGCTTAACAGATATCTAGTCATTTCACCCAAAAGATCATGCTCATTTTTTTCCTGTCTAAAGAACCCTGGTGGTTACATATTTGTCTGCTAATGGACAGGTTGGTGGTTCGAAACCTCAAGCCACTCCAGGGCAGAAAGACGAGGCTATCTGCTCATAAGAACTGACAGTCTCGGGAACCCTGTGGAGCAGTTCTATGTTGTCCGACAGGGTCGATATGACTTGGGGTCAATTCACAGCAGTGGGAATTTAACCACAGCCACAAGGTCATTTTAGGTAGACTAGAACACTGGCCTTGTGCAGGGTCAGCACAGAGCTTTGCCCCGAGCCCACTCTCCACATCTTTAGCCTCTGACTTCAGGGCTTGGGAGGAATGGTGACCCCCTTACAGCCTGGCGGGGCTTTTAGGGAGTGAGGAGTATAAACATGGCTGGAAAGCTATGATGCGCAGTTAACTATTGCATGGTTAGCATTCTGCAATATTTTAATTTTTCTCTTTTTCTTACTCCCAAAGTTCTTTCAACATAACTCAGAATGTGACTTTTTCAGAAACACAGATATAAAATACAATAAAAAACACACCCAAATTCCCTGCCATTGAGTCCTTTGTGACCCCCAGCAACCCTATAAGACAGAATTGTCCCGTAAGGTTTCAGAAAATGTCAATCTTGACAGAAACAGGACAACCGCATCCCTTGGCCTTGGTGTGTTCAAAGCATTGATCTTGCAGTGAGCAGTTCACTGAACCTCTGTGCCAGCAAGCCACCCGAGTGGAATTGGGGAGCAACACTTGGGGGCATGTGATAGCCTATCGTTGCTGCACCCCGAGTACAAACACCTAGAATGGTGGTGTGACATGCCCGGAGAACCACCCCCCACCTCCATCTCCCACTCCTCTTGCTGCCTCCACCTGTCCCAGTGACCTGCGGTCACCTTTGCTCCAAGCTACTGCCTCCTCTCCATGGTCTGGGTCGCCCTCTGCTGGTGACTGGCCACAGCTGCATGGCTCAGGTGTGTGGTCTCAAACCCTGAAAGTCCCATCTGCTTCAGGTCACTGCCCACACACAGACCTGGCGCCTTGGGATTTCGGAGATGGTCAGTTTCCACGGAAGTAGACAACGTCATCTTTCTCCCACAGGGTGGCTGATGGGCTCAAACAGCCAACCTTTCTGTTAGTAGATCAATGCTGAACCTGCTAGTCCACCAGGGCTCTCAGACCGACATGTGCTGGTGGGGAGTGGCAGGTGGCATGGTGACCCCTTCGGGGTTAGTGGGATGTGCGTGCACATCGTCTTACAAATGGCAGTTGGAACCAAAGGCTCACCAAGGCCTTCCTTTCTTACTGGGGGCCCATCTGAGTCTCTTGGGGCTCTGCTCTGAGCCTGGAGGGTCCGCAGACCCAGATACCCACCAAGGATCCTGGGAAGGAGGGCCCCAAAGACTTCCCCAGTGGGCAGGTCTGCAGGCCTCCCTGCCCCCATACCTCCTGGGCTGGAGGGACCCCCACTGTGTCAATGAGCTGTGGCC